CCGGGGTGTTGCGAGTTCCGGGAGATTCGAAAAGGCGCGGGGAGGAAGGGGGCGGGGTCAGGGCCGGAGCGCAGGGCGTGCTCTGATTGGCCGGGGGCAGTCTGCCCGCTGTCCCCGGGGGCCAGGGCCACGCCCCTCCTGGGTTCGGGGCTGCGTTCCCTGCTCTGTCCTGGTTGGACGTTTTCGCTGCCTCTTTATAATTCCTAGCGGTTGGGAACTTGCAATCCTGGTTTTGCTACTGGTCAGGTCTACAAGAATCACGATCCTAAAGAAATAAACAAGGGACGAAGCATTTTCCAGCGCATAGGTAGCAAATATTAACAGCTTAAAACCTAGAGGTTCATAAAGCATAATTTAGGTTGATAAAACTTAATTTTGCTCCCTTTTGGGGAAGAAGCTTAAATCCCAGGAACAATAGGGTCGACATTGTGAGTTAGTTTGCGCTTGGGCGTTCTGTTACCCACCGTGGCAGACAAAGCAGGGGTGGATGCTTGGGTTGCACAATGAGTTGTAGGCAGCGTTAAGATGGCTCCAGTCTCCCTGTTGAGTTGAATCGAATATTTTCTAACGGCTTAGAGGGAATATTTTAGGGGGGGTGGATTCTTCAACCTTGTGGCTTAACCTCATGATTTTTTTTTAAATCTAAGGGTTGTTTTTTGAATGAGCAAGCCGGATTAACTTGCTTTCCTGCAACCAATGTTCCAATCTGTTCAAATTTCCCAGTGTTTCAGTATTTTATAGAATTCCCTAGTTTTCTTTTCTGGTTAATGACATATTTAATCGGATTCTTTGTAGTGATTTTTTTCAGACATTGATTTATGTGGATGTGATTTGAAATCTTTGTGTTCATGACATACAGGAAACGCAAAGAAATTGATTGCATGCTTTTGAAAATCGTTTTCAGGGCGTTCCTCCCAGTGGATTGTGTTAGAATACACTGCCAGTCCCTTGTCTTCTATTCACCATGGCTTCTTCTGGTAGGTAATCTATTTGGAAAAGCTGAAATGGTGATGAGCTTGGGGTGTTAGAATAGGAGATGGCGTGGGTCTTAAGCCTTTAAGTTGGCACTCAACCGAAACCCATTTTATGAATAGCATTATTACGAATAAATAATTATCACTTGAAATTGTTCACAATTGTTTCATTGTTAGACAAATTGACTTGTCCACAGCAAAATTGTAGAGTGTTCACAAGTCTTTTGTTTAGGAAAGGGATTAATGATCAAATACTGATGTCTCAGAACAGTGTGTATTACCCCAAAAATGCTGAACTTGGTTATTCTGGGAGATGGCGCTAATCTGCCCACAAAGACATCTTCATCCTCTCATTTTATTCATTCAGTTGATTTAGTTTTTAAAAAATTATAACAGAACCCCATTTTCTGAACTGTCATAAATATGATCGACCCCAGATATCCAGGTGAAAGAACTGGAGAAGCGTGCATCAGGCCAGGCTTTTGAGCTGATTCTGAGCCCTCGGTCAAAAGAGTCTGTCCCCGAGTTCCCCCTGTCCCCCCCCAAGAAGAAGGATCTTTCCCTGGAGGAAATTCAGAAGAAATTAGAAGCTGCAGAAGAAAGACGCAAGGTAAACATTACAGTTTTAAAAAACCAGGACATTTCTTAATGTAATGGGGCAAGTCGGTTTTATGTTCATAAGGAAAGAATGGTAGCTGCATCGTGATAACCGTGGATAATCGGGATTATAACTACGTGAAAATGACACGTGGGAGTGGCTGGAAGAATATCAGCCGCTGTTTATTAAGCTCCTACTGTGTGCCAGCACTTTGAATCATATTTCTCCTTGAATACAGTGTGACCCCGTCCAGACTTGTAGGAGTGGGAGTGCTGGTAGATGAAGAAAGGACAGACGAGTAGAGAAAAGTGGGTTTCTGATGGAGAAAGCTGCAGCATGGAGTTGTTTTTAGGGTTTGTTTTTTTTTTTTAAATAGGGGAATGGGGGAGGGAGAAGCCAAAGGCAAAGCCAGGTGTTTTTATTATTGACTGTGTGGAGTCTTTTGTGTCCCGTGCTTGGTTTGTTTGTTATTTCTTTATTTTCATTTGGCCAGAAGGACAGAGCAAGGGGGGTGGGGAGTGAGAAAGGACGCTGCCAGATCCGGGACTTGAACCAGGTCGGCCATGTGGGAGTCCAACGCCTTACCGACCGTGCCACCTGCCGGCCCCTGTCCCATGATTTTAAACGAGCTCCACCTGGCCTTCGCTGGCTAACGTGTAGTTTCCTTTAATGTATGCTCCCCTGCAGTGCAGAGAAAATAGATCGCGTCTTTGTTAGAGCTCTGTGTTGGCCCTGCGGCATCAGCACAAAACCCCATCTCCACTTGTCTTTAAAGGTCACTAGTGTTTTGCTCAGATCTGGCCACTCCATACATGACCCTACGGGGTGGTGGTTGTCTCAGGTAATGGGGATTAGAAAACAGTCTCACAAATGTGGTCAAAGCATTTCCCGAAGCCACATAGTAAGTGTTGGGGCCGGGGTTCAAACCCATGTCTGTGTAAACCAGGGTGCGTGCCGCTTTGAGAGAGAGAATACCTAGTGGCTGGTGACTCTCTGTCTCTAGGTTTTAGAGCTGTGTAATAAAGACATTTTAAATGACTGCTGGTGTGATTGTTCTTCTCACCTGATGCTGTGGTAGCCTTTGTCTGTGCAGTTCTGTTATAAAGTAGCCATCTTTAAGATAAAAAAAAATCACCAAATTTATTCTTGTTGTAGGAAAATTGGGAAACACAGAAGTTTATACACAGAAATTTAAAATATTCATTATTTCTCTTCTCAGACATCACTACTGTTAATGTTTTGGTGTTCAACACAATGCTGGGGCCAGCCCATGCAACATTAGTCCAGTCATGAAGAACTTGACATAAATTCTCATGTAATAGCCCTTTCCAACAACCGGGGTGGGTTATTAGATTTTGAAGTAGGGGCAGGTAAGGCACAGGAAGGTGAGTACTGACCTGCCCACTGGCACAGCTGGTTGGTTTAAAGTCCAGCGCACATGCACATATGTGGGGCTCCCCCCCGTTTTTTTCTTTTTATTGTTTTATTTACTTATTTTTAAGTTTGCTATAGAGCACATGTGCTCACCAGAAAGAGAGGGGAAAGCAAGCCACCAGGTTCAAGACTCAAACCACATTGGCCACACGGGAGTCCAGCGCCGTAACCACCGCACTACCTGCTGGTCCCCACACAGCCCTTCTAAAGCAGCCGTAGCGCGTGTCACACACTTTTCAGTGCCACGTGCTGCCTGCACGCACTGACCCGCTGTCGACACCGAGTCGTTTCCTGGGAAGAGTGGCAGTGTTACGCCACCGCGTCAGCTGCCTGCCTTCCGTGTCGTGGGAGTGCAGGAAGAAGCCATGCAGCTGGAGACTCGACAGAGGGACACTTTTTTTTTTTTAATATTTAATACATTTTATTTAAATTTGACCAGAGACACAGAGAGAGAGGGAAAGGGAGAGAGCAAGCCACCAGGTCCGGGACTCAAACCGTAGTCGGCCATATGGAAGTGTCCAGCACCTTAACCACCACGCCACCTGCTGGTCTCCCAGAGGGACACTTGCTATGCACCACTGCAGCTGGGTCTCCACGCGCAGCTGGGTCTCCACGCGCAGCTGGGT